GCTGGATCAAGCCATACAGTCCAGCAGCCTGTTCTCACAGTGGCCAACCAGATGCCTGTGGGAAACCAGCAAGCAGGATCCGACCATAAGAGCCCTCTCCTCTCCTTTGGTTTCCAGCAACTAGTATTGAAAAGCATTGCTGCCTCCAGCTGATGCCCTTGATAGTAGCCCTCTCCTCCAGGAAAGCAATGCTAGCTTCCTCCTGAAGCTCAGCTGCATCATGGAAACCCAACAATTGCCTAAATTGTTGCTGGGGAAACCTAGCCAGATGGGCAGGGTAATAATAATAATAATAATAATAATAATAATAATAATAATAATAAATAGCTGATAGGATTGCAAGTTCTTCTGCTCTCCCCCACTCCACAAGGCTGCTATCCAGTGTGAATTCCACCAGCTGCATACTTAGGGGGCAATCTTAAGTCTAGATCTATTGGGATGGGTGAGTTTTGATCTAGCAGTTTTTGTGGCTGAGCGTAACTCCCTCATCCTGGCTCAGCTGGAGATATGTTGGTACTAAAGGGTTAAGAGGTAACAAGTCGCTCTAATCACTGAGCAGCTGGAAGTCATTAAGCATCCAGGAATGTGGGTTAGTTTGTATAAATAGTCAGTTCACCCTGTGCCCTTCCCCTTCCCCCCTTTGACCTGACTCGCAGACTCAGTTTGTGGCCATGGGCGTGTTTGCTGATATGAGTTAAGTTTAGAGTAAAGTTTTCTTTATGCCGAGATAAAAGCATGTGTGCTTTATCGCCAGGGTTTTTTTTTTTGTGAATAAAGTTTTTCCTGAGTTCCAAAGTGCTTGCTCCAGGATTCTTCATTGAAAGGTACTGACTCTCCTGCCTTCTTCAACCGCTGCACGAAATTCTCTGCAGAGATAAGATTTATGGCGTTGGAAGCGCACTGGACGTTTACTTAACATGAAGCTAATTAATGTTTAATGGACAAGATAGGCCAGCATATCCCACCCAGCTGGCTGCGTAGAGATGGGCAGATCTTAAGCCCTGAAAAAGAGGTGTTGCAGGTGGGGGAGACTTAGGCTGGATCCTAGGTAAAGGGACCCCTGACCATTAGGTCCGGTTGCAGACGACTCTGGGGTTGCAGCGCCCATCTCACTTTACTGGCCGAGGGAGCCGGCGTACAGCTTCTGGGTCATGTGGCCAGCAGGACTAGACTGCTTCTGCAGCGCACGGATCCTAAGCCAGTTCAAATCAGTCACACACCAACTGGCAATGTGGTGTAAATTAACCTAGCAAAAAGGGTGGTGCAACTCAAATCAGGTGACACGCATAGGATTGCATGAAGATTTTGCCCCTTTGCCTCAGCTGAAGCAACTGTTCACACACACACACACACACACACACACAGTGCCAAACAGGCACAGACTTCAGGAAAGAGCTGAGCAACAAACTCCATAACGACTGGCCAGAGACCACTGCCTGTAACATACTGATGGATCAACTGTGTGCCGCTGCTTCCCCCTAGTGGCTCATAGGAGCAACATCCTAAGAATATTTTTATAGCTCAAAAGAATTCTGAATCCTCCTACAAAAAGCAAAAGGTCGTGAGGAAAAGTGGGTCCTTGAGAAAGGCTGTCCAAATCCATAGTAGGGCAATATTTTTATTTATAGGAAAGGGCAGAAGTTGGTTGTCAGAGCAACGGCTTCAATCGCAGGTTCAATCCTTGGCATCTCCATGGGAAGGATCACCAGCTCAAAATGTAGGAGAGGCAAAGTCAATAATAACATTGGGTCAGGCCCATGGCTCATCTTGTCCAGCACCCTGTTTTCACAGTGGCCAACCAGAGCAGAGAATTGTAGAACTGCATAGAATCATAGAGTTGGAATAGACCACAAGGGCCATCGAGTCCAACCCCCTGCCAAGCAGGAAACACTGTCAGAGCACTCCTGACATATGGTTGTCAAGCCTCTGCTTAAAGACCTCCAAAGAAGGAGACTCCACCACACTCCTTGCCAGCAAATTCCACTGTCGAACAGCTCTTACTGTCAGGAAGTTCTTCCAAAAGTTTAGGTGGAATCTTCTTTCTTGTAGTTTGGATCCATTGCTCCATGTCCGCTTCTCTGGAGCAGCAGAAAACAACCTTTCTCCCTCCTCTATATGACATCCTTTTATATATTTGAACATGGCTATCATATCACCCCTTAACCTCCTCTTCTCCAGGCTAAACATGCCCAGCTCCCTTAGCCGTTCCTCATAACGCATCGTTTCCAGGCCTTTGACCATTTTGGTTGCCCTCCTCTGGACACGTTCCAGTTTGGCAGTGTCCTTCTTGAACTGTGGTGCCCAGAACTGGACACAGTACTCCAGGTGAGGTCTGACCAGAGCAGAATACAGTGGCACTATTACTTCCCTTGATCTAGATGCTATACTCCTATTGATGCAGCCCAGAATTGCATTGGCTTTTTCAGCTGCCGCGTCACACTGTTGGCTCATGTCAAGTTTGTGGTCAACCAAGACTCCTAGATCCTTTTCACATGTACTGCTCTCAAGCCAGGTGTCACCCATCTTGTATTTGTGCCTCTCATTTTTTTTGCCCAAGTGCAATACTTTACATTTCTCCCTGTTAAAGTTCATCTTGTTTGTTTTGGCCCAGTTCTCTAATCTGTCAAGGTCGTTTTGAAGTGTGATCCTGTCCTCTGGGGTGTTAGCCACCCCTCCCAGTTTGGTGTCATCTGCAAGTTTGATCAGGATGCCCTTGAGTCCATCATCCAAGTCGTTGATAAAGATGTTGAATAAGACCGGGCCCAAGACAGAACCCTGTGGCACCCCACTAGTCACTCTTCTCCAGGATGAAGAGGAACCATGGATGAGCACCCTTTGGGTTCGGAAGGGACCCACAAGTGCCCTCTGGCCCAACCCCCTGCAATGCAGGAGACACAGCTAAATAATCCCTGACAGATGGTCATCCAACCTGTGCTTGAAAACCCCCAATGAAGGAGAGTCCACCACTTTTTGTGGTAGATGCCTGCGGGAAACCCACAATCAGGCCCTCTTGCAGTTTCTGGAAGCTAGTGAGAGGTGTGTTTTGCTATTTTGTGCACACATACAGCCTTGACGAACCTGGCACCCTTCAGAGGTTTTGGATTATAACTCCTTGCCTTCACTTCTACTCTTTTCGGTGCCTTTTGAAAACATCCCTCTTTAGACAAGCCTACCCAGATGCTTTGAAAGTTGAGGTAATTCTAATCTGCTGTAGAATTGTAACCTTTTAAAGTGGGGTTGCAATTTTTTTCTTGATTTTCTTGTTTCCTCATTTCATAAACCCCTTTGAGGTTTTGTTTTGCTTTTACAGCCAAGCAGCCCCTAAAGTTTTAAGAAACAAACAAGTAAGCAAACAAACTCACTCCCAGCAGCCCCAGCTAGCTGGCTGAGGCTGCTGGAAGTTCAAAACACCTGGAGGGCACCAGGTTGGCAAAGGGCCCCAGGGTCTTACTCCAAGTCTGCATGTTATGTGTCACACTGTGCTACAAAGATGTCTTCAAGCGTGACGTGAAGACTGGCAACATCTACCCCGCAGTGTGAGAATGACCTTAGTGCCTGGAGACATGGAATGACAGCTGGGAGGAGCGGAGAGAGAAGAAATCCCGCAGAGGATCTGCAGCAGCACAACCGGACGCCTTCATCTGCCCCAGCTGCAACAAAACATGTCTCTTCTGCATCAGTTTCTACAGCCACAAGCAGGCTCTGCAACCTTCCAAGAGTTTGACCTCACCCCCAAAGGTGCACACATCCATTGTCTCCTGAAACTGACAGATGCCAACAACAATTGTCTGGTTGGTTGCTTTGGACTGCCCTGAGGAAGATAAAGTATGTAACAAATTTAATAATAACAATAAGAGCCAGTGTGGTGTAGTGGTTAGAGCAGGGGTTGGCAAGATTTACCTTGCCTGAGCCGGTTCACTCCAGCAGAGTTCCCTCCATGGGCCGGATCACATGCGCCCGCAATTTCCGGCACCGCGAAAGTGAGTCCCTGCGTTGCGTTGCACCGGTTTAGTACAGTGCGAGGGGACTCGCCGAGTGGGCGGCTCGGTTCAGGGACGGCTCATGGGCCGGTTAAACGACCCCAGTGGGCCGCTTGTGGCCCATGGGCCTTAGGTTGCCGACCCCTGGATTAGAGTGTTGGACTAGTACCTGGTAGAAACCAGTGTTGAAATTCCTGCTCGGCAATGAAGCTCACAAGGAACCTTGGACCAGTCACTGGCTCTCTCTCCGCCTAACCTATCAAGGATGACAAGCTGGAAGGTGTGCAGAGGAGGGCGAGACCAAGATGATCAAGGGACTGGAAACCAAGCCTGATGAGGAACAGTTGAAAGAGTTGAGTATGCTTAGCCTGGAAAAGAAGAGGCTGAGAGATTATAGCCATCTTCAATTATCTCAAGAGCTGTCACATGGAATATGGAGCAAGTTTGTTTTCTCCTGCTGCGGAGGGTGGGACACGAACCAAGATACAAGAAAGGAGATGTTCGACAGTGGAACTGTCTCCCTCAGGAAGCGGTGGACTCTCCTTAACTGAAGGTTTTTAAGCAGACACCGGACAGCCACCTGTCATGGATGCTTTAGTTTAAGGTTACCAGACATCCCCGTTTCCCAGGGACAGTCCCCAGATTTTCAAATCAGTCCTCACAGAACTCTAGCCCAATGGCTGCCATTAATTTGATTTTGAATTGATTTTAGAATGAATTGATTTTAGAATGCTGTGTTACTTTTATTGTTGTTAGCCGCTCTGAGCCCGGCTTCGGCTGGGGAGGGCGGGATATAATTTTATCATTTATCGTTTTAATTAATATTAATATTATTATACAAAATACAAAAAAGCAGCAGGGTTGTTGCAGGGATTAAATGAGGAATGAGGATGGGGAGAACCACGGACACCACCTTGAGCTCTTTGGAGAAAAGGGTGGGATATAGAACGAAACAAACAATATGAGATAAATAACAACGTGACAGACCATACCACGCTTCCAGGCGGGCAGGCAACTCACCCAGCACCAGGATCCGATCACCGGGGCTCAGCTCCGCCTCCAGCTGCTCTCGGAATCGCTCCAAGCCCCCGAACCATTCGGCTGGAGCCGCCCCTTCGTCCTGGTACCGCGAGTCCCAGAAGCTCCTGTCCCGGTACCGGGCGTTGGAGTCCGGCAGCTGCCGCCTTCGCGGAGCCGCCTCCTCCTCCTCCTCCTCCTCCTCCATGTCGCTTCCCCGGGGAAGGGCGGCCAAGCGAGGGCAGGGCTGGCAGGGAGGGAGCCTTCCGAATCCAGCCTCCACCCACGTGGCGCCCTGAAAACCACGTGCAGCTTCCGCTCGCCACTTCCTGGTCGGTGGTGGAGAGCTTTGCTTCCTTCTGTTGGGTCTTGCGGGTGGTGGGGTGGGAGAGGCGAGGCTGGCCCATGCCTGGGGTCTTTGCCACTACTTCGTATGAATGATTTCTCTGTGCAAAACCCAGGGAGGCAGTAAACCCGTTAGCTTGCTACAGAGAAAACCCAGGAAAGAGTCTTGCACGGCATCTTAGCAATGCAGCCCTAAGCCGTGTCTACTCGGAAGTAAGTCCCATTGAACTGAACGGGGCTTACTCCCAGGTACGCGGCGTGAGGACTGCAGTCTTGAAAGGCTCACAAGTTTATTGCCCACGTATGCTTAGCCTGGTAAAGAAAAGACTTGAGAGATTTGATAATCATCTTCAAATATCTAAAGGAAGAGCTGTTCTTGGTGGGACTAGAATCTCAGGAGTCAGCAAACTTTTTCAGCAGGGGGCCAGTCCACTGTCCCTCAGACCTTGTGGGGGGCCAGACTATATTTTTTTGGGGGGGGGGAAATCAACAAATTCCTACGCCCCACAAATAACCCAGAGATGCACAATAAAAGCACATTCTACTCATGTAAAAACACCAGGCAGGCCCCACAAATAACCCAGAGACGCATTTTAAATAAAAGGACACATTCTACTCATGTAAAAACACGCTGATTCCTGGACCATCTGTGGGGTGGATTGAGAAGGCGATCGGGCCGCATCCAGCCCCCGGGCCTTAGTTTGCCTACCCATGGACTAGAGACAGTAACTGAGTGTCCCTTCCAACTCTGATTCTATGATATAAATTTGCACAATAAGGCCCCTTCCAGATGTCCCTTTTTGTTGTGTGTTCACAATAACTTGTTCCTCATAATGATATTGGTGTGGTTATACACGTCATTGGTTATGTGGAACATATTTGGGCGGTCATATGTGATCAGTACTCCTTGCACCTGCAAAATTTTTGGGGCAGTTTTGTTTCCATGGCCTGCTATGCTGAGTTCTTGTTAACTTTCTAAGCCACAAATGTTATGGGGGTCTTTTTTTTGTCCTGCTTTTGTTGCACTATGGTGCAAGAGTGCCTCTCCAGATAGCAATAACGTGATCCACTTTGTGGGAGCAGCACAGAACTACTCATAACATGGAATGACATGTGAATGGCCCAGAATAAATGCATTACAAATACACTATTATTGCGTCAAGAACATGTTGCAGAATACAGCCTAACAGGATGGCCCCTCTGGCATTTGTCACACATACACATGAATTTGTAAATCTGTGCTTTGAACCCAGAGCTTAAAATACATGACCTTTTACACACATGCATTTGGAGAGGATCCCTAACTTAGCAGAGAGAGAGAAGTGGAAATATAGGACAAACTCTGCCTTGCATTGAATGCAACTGAAATACTGGCGGATCCTGCATTATACCAGAACGGATGGCAACCCTATTCCCTTTTCTCCCTGCATGATGCTTGAATATTTGTTTCCCCCTAAAAAGCACATCTTGCGTTTTCTGGGCATAAGAAAGCAAGAAGATCCCTGCTGGATCCGACAAAATGCCCACGGGAGGGTTTGCACTACTTAGGAGGATCCTGTCCAGCTCTGCAGTTCTGAGATTCTATGAAGCGCCAGCTTAGGGCGGCTCACCAAAACTTTAAAATAAAATAAAAACCCTCTTGACAATCACAGCACCAATCAATCAATGCATGCATGCATGCAATGGGAAAGCAAAACAGAGACAGCAAAAACTTAAAAGTCTCCCAGGGCTTCGTGGCGTGAGGCTGCAGATGCTCCGCCGCCACAGGGAAGGAGGAGGAAGAGAGCGAAGAGGGGGGACCTTCCGAGCGCCGGAACTGCCTGCTCCGGGCGGCGGCGGCGGCGCCGGGGCGCGTTTCGCGGTGGCACCACCTGGCCGGGCCGCCAGCAGCCGTAGCAGCAGCAGCAGCAGCAGCTGCCGGAGGGGAGCGTGGCCGGAGCTGGGCGGGCGGCGGGGCTGGGATGGCTCCGGGTCCCGCTCCGAGGAGGAAGGGGGCCGCGGGGCCTGCTGGCGGGCTGCCCTCCGTGCGCCAGAGCCTGCGCCGGGCCTGGCAAGACAAGCACCTGGTGCTCTTCGAGCCCCACTACACCCCGCTGGTGGCCGCCTGCCTCTGCCTGGCCGAAGTGGGGGTCAACCAGTGGGTCATACACAGGGTGGCATGTGAGTGGGGGCCCGGGCCTGGGTGGGGGGTCAGGAGAGTGGCCCTGGGGGTGTGGATAAGGGGCAAGGCTTAGGTGGGGTTGGGACCCTCGCCGGGAAGGAGGGAACAAGCTCACGCCTGCAGTTCTGCTAATAATAATAATAATAATAATAATAATAATAATAATAATAATAATAATTTATTTATACCACGCTCATCTGGCTGGGTTTCCCCAGCCACTCTGGGCAGCTTCCAACAAAAATTTAAAATACATTAAAATGCCACATATTAAAAACTTCCCTAAACTGGGCTGCCTTCAGATGTCTTCTAAATGCCAGGTAGTTGTTTATCTCTTTGACATCTGATGGGAGGACTAGCGTGCTGGGCAGATGGAACCTTGTGGGATTGGGTTAAGGAGGCAACAGAAGCCCTGCTGGCTGGGTTAAGCAAAAGGTCTCCCTTCAGTGGCCAAGCAGGTGGGAAGACCATGGGAAGGACGTGAGCATAGGAGCCAACTCCTAGGGGTCAAGGTCCATTTGTCCCACAACCCCTACCTTCAACTGGTAGTCGGAGTCAGGTCTCCATAAATGCTGGAGGCAGTATGCAGTGCAGCCATCAGGAGCAGCAGGCATTGCTGGATTCATCATCCACAGATCTGTCCGCCCCCCTTTTCAAAACTGCCCCAATTGGCAGCTGTTGCTACGTCTTGTGGCAGTGAATTCCGTAGTTGAACAATGCACAGTGGCACATCATTAACAGGACTACGTAGAGGGTTCCATACAATGTGTAGTCGGGGGTAGTTTTGACGAAAGGCTGGGGCTTCATTTGAGCCAGGGCCTAGTGTCAGAACTGTTCTCGATGCTTGTTGTCCTGGCTGCTAGAGCCCAGCCTAAATAAAAATCTGTCCCAGCCCTTCAAAAACAGGTCATGGCTAAATGCCTTACACAGAGAAACAGCCACCAGGCATGGCTTTGCATGTGTTCTTGTAGACTCGGATAATTTTAGAGCCCTTCTTTTAGATCCAGGCTGTTTTCAGCAGCTGAACCGAGCTCCTGTTCGTACTTGATGGTACAGCTCCTGTGCTTTCCCCAAAGATACAGAGATCGACTGGAAAGCCTATATGGATGAGGTGGAGGGTGTTGTCAATGGGACTCTGGATTACACCCAGCTAAAGGGGGACACCGGCCCTCTTGTGTGAGTAACACTGAGTTTGCAATTATAATGAGGGTTTCAGGAGAGGTAGGGTGGGTACATCTCTATTTACCCACTCACTCTTTCTACAGATATCCTGCTGGCTTTGTTTACATCTTCCTGGGCCTGTATTATGCAACTGGCCGTGGCACCAACATCCGCCTGGCCCAATATCTTTTTGCTGCCCTTTACCTTGCCACACTGCTGCTCGTTTTCCGCATCTACAGCCGAACGAGTAAGGTCAGTAGCTCGTACAGCACCTCAAGAAGCACTAAAGACTTTTCTTTTTCCTATCACACAGTAGATGTGAGCCCTCATCCAAACACAGTGCTCCTGTGCAGTACATGTGGGACTTGAAAATTAAAGGCCAGGAGGAGGACAGCAAGGTTTGGGTGGGTGCAGGTTAAGGCGGAATTCTATGGAGCTGCACTGCTGAACTCTTTATATAGACTGAGACTTTCATGTTCATGATACTGTACACAGCAACTGTAAAAAAATGCAACCTCATATTCCAGTTCTACCACTGAGATCTTCTGTAGGAGCATAGCTGGTCTTCCCCCAGGTTGGTGAGGCTCATTTGATTTCAACACAAAGCCAAGCTTTTAGTGTTATTGGCCAAGCCCTGTGAAACGATCTTCCAAAATATATTCAGCAGGCTTCCGAATCTGTATTGACCTTTAAATGATTGCTGAAAACTTTTCTTTGCTGCCAGGCTTATGCAAACAATTTAAGACAAACTTTAGTTAGTGTTTTTTTAATAATAAAAAAATATGTGGTCTTTATTTTGTACATATTCTTGTTGTAAACTGCTTTGATTTTTTAAAATGATGCTTTTGTAGTAAAGGTTCATATAAAACGTGTTCATATGCTGTGAATTAGAGGACACAGCTACAAGTTTTTGGTTCGGCGGTTCTCCCTCTCTTGCACAAGGAGGAAGAGGATCCTGGGAACCTGACCTTACAGTTTGAGAAAAATGCAACTGAGCATGCAGTTGTAAGGAAAAACTTAGGCACTTTCTGCTGAATGCTTGTCTGTTATTATTATTACAATTATTACTTCACCTTCCACACATTTCTCAAGGCGATGCACAAAATACAATAAAAACAGTTAAAAACAATACAGAAAGCAGTAGCAGTTAAAAGTAAAAACCAATGTGAATTGGGCACCCATTGCAGGGACGTATTCACCCAGCTGAGAAATCTTGCCAGAACAAAGCTTTTCAGAAAGTACAGATTGTGGGTGCCTGTCGTATCTCACCAGGAATTTCATTCCACAGAAAAGGGCCGGCCACACTAAAAGCCAGGAGTTAATGAAGGGGCAAAGTAGCTTCAGTCAGCACAGCTGTCAGCCACAGCCTCTAGGAGGTGCTGGGAGCCCAGTGGGCACACACAGGCTGCACATTGTTGGAAGACTCCCATCTGTAAACTGGGAACAGTGGCAGCTTGAGTCATTTGAAGCCGCCCCAATGGCAAGTGGGCTTGATTTTCCTCGTTGACTCCTCTGCTGCAGGTCCCGCCCTATGTTTTCTTCTTCATGTGCTGCGCCTCCTATCGCATCCACTCCATCTTTGTCCTGCGCCTCTTCAATGACCCAGTGGCCATGGCAATCCTTTTCCTGGCTGTCAACCTCTTCCTGGAGGAGCAGTGGTCCTGGGGCTGCTTCTGCTTCAGGTGAGAGCCCCTTTGGAGTCAATCCATCCAATGGGAGGGTATTTTAAACAAGCGAGTGGTTCTTGCAGAAGCACAAATACCGTGCACACCTGATTTTTGTGCTTGCAAAGTGGGAACTTTCAGAGCCAACTCATTGCTTCCTGTGGTCCATCTAAAACGGCCTTTGCCAGCCTGAGCCCCTCCAGATGTTTTGGACTACAACTCCCATCAGCGATCTTGCTGTAGTCCTGACTGTTCAGTGTAAACTGTAAACCTTGTGGGCAAGCAGGACAGACTCTTGCTCTCTGTGAAAGTCTGCTGCTACTGTAGTTCTTAGTCAATGTCAGATGGTAAAAGCAAGGTGCATGGGGACTGGAAT